CTCTCTCTCTCTCTCTCTCTCTCTCTCTCTCTCTCTCTCTCTCTCTCCCCCCTCGATTTCTCCTCCTACTTATTCTCTCTGCCGGCACCTCCTATCCCTCTCCTGTCAAGCTACTGGTTGTTCAGCTTTTTATTTGACCAATCAGGTCAGACAAGGTAAAACAGCAACATGTTTTTACACAGTTAAATACCATCCTTACATGGTTAAACAAATGCAACATAAACAAATGTAACACATCTTTACATAGTTAAATATTCCATAATAGAGAGGAGAGTTCGTCCCTCTCAAGTGGGATTTGGGCAGTCTGGTTTTGATGGGATGCCTATCATCTTGGCAATGACTTTTTTTTTCTTTTTCTTTTCTTTTTTTCTTTTTTGAGACAAGGTTTCCCTATGTAACCTTGGCTGTCCTGAAACTCTCTCTCTGTAGACCAGGGAGGGCTAGAACTCACAGAAACCCACCTGCCTCTGCCTCCCAAGTGCTGGGCGCAATGGCTTTTTGAAATACTTTCTAAAGTGCATCTTAATGATTTCTGCTTTAAGTACCCTGGATATGAAGCTGACTATCGCCCCATGGGAGGATATGGTCACCACATTACATGCACTGGTTTTTTCCTCTGGAGATGAGTGGACCTGGAACCACTCACTTTCCCATTCGCCTGTCCTACACCTCAGTAGTAGGAACCTGCTTTGCCAAGTTCCCAGAACCCAAAGGATATGTGTCTTCACCCATACAAACTTGTCTTTTGTCTGTTGTCTTCAGGACACTCAGATCAGCTAATCCATATAGAATTGCTGTAGGCCAGTGCTGAGACAGAAAGAGAACACTAAAAAAACAGTACGCGCGCACTCACGCGCACGCGCACACACACACACACACACACACACACACACACACACACACACACACACACGAGAAATATATACCCAAAATGAAATCTCATCTGTCTGGGCTCTGTGCTGTTCTCACCACCCGGGGTTTCCTAACTAGTGTTTCCTGGTGGGTCGGTACTCTGTCATTCCAACCACAGACTGTGTCAGCACTGTCATCACCCTGGAACCTAGAAGAAATATGGAATCCCAGGCCCCAGGCCAAGCATCCTGAATGGGAATCTGAGCTTTTCCAGACTCCAGAAAGGCTGTGCTAGTCCACAGTTCCCAGCCCCGTTTCCTTCTGGCACCCTGGAGAAGTGATCGTAGCTGTCACCAAAGTATAACCAGAGGAAGCAGCCACACCCTGTTCTGTGTCCCACACAGAGGACTGTGCTGTTCTGGTCTGTGGCTCCCCAGCCTCCACCCTGGGGGAAGCCCCTTCCTTAATCATTAACCTAGTTGACTCCAGATGGCAGATTCTAAACCCGAGGGACATTAGAATCACGAGACAAACTCCAGAAAATAATCTCCACGTCCTTTCTTCCAGCCAAAGAAACCAGGTGACCCATGTGTGTTTAGATTCATGATTCCTCACCTGAAATTTACCAATCTGTAACTGAAATTCTAAATGACCTTTGTGGCTGGGACCTGACTCCTGACGCTGTGTTGGGTTGCTACAAGGCAATGCCTCAGCTGGGTGACTCCTAAGCAGCAGAAACGATGCTGTACACAGTTCCGCACCCTGGAAAGCCCAGTCACGGTGCAGGCAAGGTTGATCTCCAGTAAGGAGCTGCTTTCTGTCTCATAGCAGCATCTCTTTGCGGTGTTCTTACATGGGAGGAAGGACAGGAAGAGTGTTCTGGGGTCTCTTGGGGAGGCACAAATGCTCCTTGGGAACTCTGCCACTGTGACTTGAGCGCTTCCGTAAAGTCCCATCCTTTATCACCATCACCTTGACGGTTAGGTTTTTAACCTATGGATTTGTAGGAACACAACAGTTAAATCACTATAGGATTTCTCATTGACACTTTGATAGTGAATGAATAAATGAATGAATGAATGAATGAATGAATACAAACAAATAGGTGGAAGAGAAATTAGACACTATTCACACACACAGGTAACTATGCTTATCGTCCTGCGTACTTCGCAGGCATGCACACTCACACATTTCACACAGGTGCAGAGAGATGCTACACAGGTGTCTGTCACATCTTTCTATATAATTCCATGAGTCTATTAGAAGCATTCGCTCACCGTGCTTTATCCCAGACACTGAGGTAGGCACATCACTTACGAAGATCAAGAAGGTTAGCGCTCATCTTCCAAGAGCATTCTCCTAGTGTTAAATAAATCATTGTGGCATTATCTAGAGAATGATGGGAAAAAAATTCTGCAAGAACTCAGAAAGTCCAGACGGCATGATTTTAAGGGGCTCCTGCAGTGATGGCTTCCTGATGGCTTCCCTGGAAATCCGTCCTATTACATGAAGCCTCGTTCCCTGCAGCACAGCAGTGCTTTCAGAGAGGAATACATGGGCCTGCTTCCTGCGCTGTAATAAATACAGCAGAGCTGGGAAAAGGAGACTCGTGGTTTGGTTTCTAGTGTCCCTTCATCCTGCGGATAGGCCTCAGAACCCTGATGCTGTGACTCCCCGTGTCTTGGAAGAGACAAAGTCACTTGAGTGCTTGCTTCTAGGCCTTTCCAACGAGCCACAGCCTGGCTGGGCCCCTCTGAAGACACAAGCAGAGGGCATGATCATGTGTCCCAGACTTGGGCATGCTGGAAGTACAAGCATCCCCAGTGCACACAGTGAAAGACACCAAAAGATACAAAAATAAATTGGGTTTGTTTGTTACTAAAATTCTTCCTAGTGTTGAAGGAAATTTAAGAAAAATATCCAAAATAAGAAATGGAAAATCGCCAATTATCCTTCCACCCAGACTCAACCACGACTCCGCTGCTGATTTCTGAAGTCAATTTTATAAATCTGTGTGGACGGTTTTTAAATGTTGGTATACTTTTAAAACCCGGCATTATTTCCAGCAACCTGCTCAAAACATTCTATTTTTATTCCTAGCATTGTGCCATATGATTAAACTTTCTTCCAAATCATGCTGGTGCAATACTGCTACTCAAATCAGGCTGTGGATTCCTCCTTCACATTTGCGAAGTCAGGGGACTTGGAAATACTGGCAGACATTTTGTAGCTAATTTTTCAGCATAGTCCATCCTGCATACCCCACCTTGTGACTCTATCCATGTTACTTACTGCAGAATAACCAGGTAGTAGTCCAGGTATCAGTGAGCACATTTAGAGAACACAGCACATGGACCATATGGGTTTTTCACTCACAACATTCTGAGTCCCAAGCCCCAGGGGCCTTGGTAACGAATGGTGGGCCCATCTTCTCAGCGGGTTATTTATCTAGCCCTTGGTGTTGCTGTTGCGTAGGTAAGTGCTACCTACAGAGCATTACCAGGCAGCTTTATTACCAGGATTCAGTTTGGCTCTGGGAGTATCAGGATGGGCTGGTGGATTGTGGCCGGCTGTCAGTTTTCTGTGTCTGCCATATGTAGCACTATTCCTCTCTGCAGTCTGCGGTTCCATGGGAACACAGGCGTGAGTCATTTGATAGCTTCATGCTTCTTTCTTTACATGAGGGAATGTATCTTTAACGTTTGCTTGTTTTAGAAAGTTTTTATGGCAAATTAACAAAGCAATAAAATAGAAATTCTAAAGAGAAAGAAGAAAGGAGCCTGAGGCATAAAATAGGAGTGTCACACGTGGCACTCAGCCACATCTCTGAGAGACACAATCAAAGTTCAGTTCAAATATTCTCAGGGTAAGGAGCTCACTACCTTCTAAGATGGCTCGGGCGGAAGCGTCCTGAAAATCCCTACCCGTTGATATTGACTTAGGCAACCCCGTGTGTGTGTAAATTAGTCATAGACCCCTAGGAATTTTGCTAAGCTAAATGACACCCCCTGGATAGTTCTCTCACTTAGTTAGGTACCTAACCATGAGAGTGAAAAGCCAAAGAGAATCCAAAGATCACTGGTCACCCCTGCAAGCCAGGAATTCTCGTCATCATTCTTTCCGGGATCCATGTCACACACTCTGGATGCTCAGCAATCAAATACCCTTCCCGTGTTACCACCCAAGAGTCCCGTTAGGGTAGTGCTGTTTCCAAAATCAGAGTCTACTGTTAAGGCCACATATATTGGACTCTAAACCCCATATGTGGTAGTTTGAATGAGAATGGTCCCCAAGGGCTTATATATGGGAATAGTTGGCCCTAATTGGTGGAACTGTTTAGCCCTGTTTGAGGACGCTTGTCAGTCAGTGGGGGGGGGGGACTTTAAGTGTCAAAAGCACATGCTATTTTCCATTAGTGATCTCTGCCCCATGCTTGTGGGTGAGATGTGAGCTCTCAGCCACTGCTCCAGCACCATGTTTGCCTACTTGCCGCCATGCTCCCCACCATGGTAGTCATGGACTCTACCCAATGGAATTGTGAGCCTCAAATTAAACTCTTTCTTTTGCAAGTTTCCTGGGTCATAGTGTTTTGTCAAGGCAATTTAAAAGCAACTAAGTCTCCATAATCATGTACCATATTAAACTGTTTCCAATGATTGCCTACAATGATTAAGAACAAACTCTTCATGTATTTCTCATCAGAGTTATATCACCAAACTGAATGACAGTTTTGCTTGTTAGAGAAAGACGTTCTCTGAAAAACCTTGTGTGATAAAATTCACCCAACCCCAAGTGGAGATGCTTATAAACTCTTCTCACAGAGGCTCATCACAATGTCTGACACCCAGGGAATGCTCGGTAACTATTTCCCTCTTCTGTGGGAATGATAAAGCGAAACCCCATGTAAACTCCAGATCATTATTTTCCTTCATCACACGTGTGAACGACCACTGTGTTCGGCCTCAGAGAGCAGCTTCATTTTGATTTGCAGGAATTAATAAGTGTAAACCCTACTGAATCTAGGGGAAATGAGGAGGAGGGATTTTGGCACCCTGAGATCAGAGTCCAACACCCAGCTGAGCAGTCAGGATGGCTGCCCTCCTAGTTTCCCAGAAGTAATTAGGAACCAACTCTGGGGCCAACTAGACCCATCCTGATGCCGAGGACGCTGCCTCTCTAGGAGTCAGTGGTGTGGTTCACTGGTAATTAAAAAGCCCCAAGCTGTGCACGGAGCACAGCTGAGATCCACAGAGAAAGTTTTCCAGAGGTTGCAGACAGGCCCAGAGATGCCACTGCAGGAGCAGCAGGCCTGATCAGTCACGAGAAAATGAAAATGGTCCGTGATGGGGAAATGAAGCTTTCAAGGAAGCCTTTCTCTCCTCTAACAGCAAATGCACCGTGTGGGGGAGGAATAGGCAGACCTATCTTGCTTGCTTCTACTGGGGAACTCGCAGCTGTCTCGAGGGATTGCCCAGAAGTTTTGACTTTTCTAGGTTATGGCTTTTTAAAGTGTCACATGGAATAAAAGAACATTACAGCATGTTTTAATATTTAGGTTTACTGTGCTGGCCAGAGATGAGAGTCCTATACCCAGCTGAGCAGTCAGGATGGCTGCCCACTCCCCACTCCTCCAACTCACTAGAAGTAATTAGGAGACAACTCTCAGACCAGACTTTTCTTTAGTCTTTATTTTTATTTGGCAATTTTTTTCTCTCTTATTTATTACGTTCTGACTGCAATTACCCTTCCCTCCTTTTCTCCCAGTCCCTCCCATTTTCTCCACTCTCCCTCAATCCCACTCCTCCTCCATTTCCCTTAAAAAAAAAAAAAAGAAGTGAAGAAGAATAGACCTCAGCTCTCCCAAGGATATCCACCAAACACAGCATAGCAAGCTACAATAAGACTAGGCATAAAGCCTCATGTCAAGCCTGGATGAGGCAACCCTGTAGGAGGAAAAGGATTCCAAGTGCAGGCAAAAGAGTCAGAGACAGTCCCACACTCCTTGTTGGGAGTCCCACGGAATATCAGGCTAACTTTTCATTGATTTGACACATGCAGAAAGGAACGACTTAAGAAATGAAGGATTTGGTTTTACTAGTTTCAGAAGATTCTGTTCCGGATGGAGTGGATGACTGCTTTAATCCTGAGCCAAAGCAGACTACTGAGGCATCAGGAGAGAGTAGCAGGGGCTGTGCAGTCTCACAGAGAGAGAATGGCTGTTACCAGGCTTCTTTGTTTTCCTATTTGAATTATCACCAGGATCCAGTCCATGGGATGGTGCTATTCATGTCCAGAGTGGGTCCCTCACTTCAAGTTGTTCTTTAATAATCATCCAGGAATTTCTCAGTGAAACAAAATAAAAAAATAGCAATCAGTTATTACCACATATATTTTGAAATACAAAAATGTGTACATGAACAAAAAAACACTATTAAGACCATCACAAGTGGTGAATATCACTGGGTAATTTTTTTCAGAGTTTCTTTTTTGCTTTGTGAACTGCCTGATGTGGGTGTTGGAAACCAAATGCGGATCCTCTAGCACAGTGTTCTCAACCTTCCTGATGCTGTGACCTTCAATACAGCTCCTCATGTTGTGGTGACCCCGACCTTAAAGTTACAGTTATAGAGTTAGAGTCTCTACTGTTGTGAATTGTGGTGCAAATATTTTTGGAGAGACGAAGAGGTCATGACCCACATGTTGAGAACCACAGCTCTAGAAGATTAGCAAGGTCTCTTAACCTCTGAGCCACCTCCCCGGCCTTTCTAGTCCAACTATTTTTCAATGTGACTGGAGTCACATTTTAAACTAAACAGTCTTCTGTGGTTTAGACAGCTCATCACTGACAGTTAATGTTAATTATCAACTTGACAAGACCTGGAGTCATCCAGGAGGCAAGCCTCCAGACACACCTGTGAGGGAGTGTTTGTCATGGGGCAAGCCTGTGCTGGATTTATGCTGCTTAGGGTAAATGAGGTGAGAAGACCCACTTAAAAGTGGGCAGCACCATTCCTGAGACTTGGGCTTGGATCCTGGACTTTGTTTAAAACAGAGAAAAGGGCTAAGCAGAGGTATTTGTCACACTTGTTCCCTGGCTGCGGATGCCGTGTAAGCACCTGCTCAGGCTCCTGCTGCTACTTTGGCACCCCACCATGATGTTCTGAACCCTTGAGCTGTGAGCTGAAACAAGCCCTTTCTCCCTTAAGTCGCTTTTGTCAGGTATTTCATTACAACCACAAAAGAAGAAATTAGGGCACTGTATTTAATATGCTTCTTTTACCAGAAAGTGATCAAATCTGACAAACTTAATAGAACCAGGCCAAAATATTAAGATAATATATGTTATTACTAGAAATAAGTGGGAAAACAACTGCCTTTGGGAATCTTATAGGGTAGGCCAGTGTTTGGGGAACTAGATCACACAGGGGTCATACTGAGTGCGTAGTATTTAACAAAGAGATATGTTGTAAACTTGGATTTATGTCAAGGTCTTCTTTATAAAGACTAGCAATCAGTCATTGGAATAGCTACATCTTGTCTATGCCCAGCTCTCCCCTGCAGTAAGATGTAGGAAAGCTAACTCCAGGGGAAAAGTAGTGTTCAAGTGAGATGTGGTAAAACAGTTACACTTCGTATGGGTAGGATGAGAAACCAGTGTCAACAGGCTATCCCCAAAAGTGCACTGGTTGGAAAGGAGATGTTCTCACAGACTAAATAGCAAGCCACTGAGATGGAGCATCTTGGTTCTGCATTCTTGCTTTTCATCCTTCTCCATTCATTTTTAAAGGATGATTTTTTTCCTCAAAATTTACAAGTATGCAAGGAATTCTGCTAAGCTTATCCATGAAGGTAGATATTAAAGTTAAGCATTTGCTTAGTTGTGGAGCAACTAAATACTTCTGTGATTAAGAGTTGAAACTCTAGAACAATTTGGTAGTGGTGTTATCTGTGCTGCTCACTAGCAGTGACATTGTAGACATTTATTTGGGCTCCTTAGTGCTGTTTTTACTACTAAGTAAAAGTGATAGCAATGGTGACTATCTCAAAGCATTATCAAAAATATCAAACGGCAAGCCGGGTGGCGCACGCCTTTAATCCCAGCACTCGGGAGGCAGAGGCAGGCGGATCTCTGTGAGTTCGAGGCCAGCCTGGTCTACAAGAGCTAGTTCCAGGACAGGCTCCAAAGCCACAAAGAAACCCTGTCTCGAAAAACCAAAAAAAAAAACCAAACAAACAAAAAAAATGAAAAAAATATCAAACGGCTTAACATGTACAGTGTGCTTAGCACTGTGACCAGCACAGTTACATCCCATAGATGAAACCAATGATGCTTTCCAAACATCACAACTATTTCTACCCACTTGCTTTTTTCCTATAACTGGTATGATCATGTGATACTTTAATAACAGAATGTGACCGAAGAAACCCAGCACCAGGCTTAGGGTTTTCATTTAAATATCCATACAGTTCTACTTTCTACCTAGAAAGTCGGCAACCACTATGCCATGAGATCTCAAGCCGCTCAGAGAAACCCTGGGGAGATTGTGAAGCATGAGCACTAGACATCAGGCATGAGGGTCAGCAGGCCAGCATTTGGCCTGCTCTAGCCTTGAGATTGTCATCTCAGTAGACCAGCACCAAAGAGCCCAAGAGGAACCCAACCGGTTGTAACCAAAAGAGATGAAAATAAATCCCTTTGAGCTACTCCTTCAGTGTAGTATGTTAGACAGATCTCAATGCCTGGAACAGATAATGTGTTTATGTTAGCCATTACAATTATCGCTTGTGAAAGGCCTATGCTGTTAGATATTAAAAAATCAATTTTGAGTTTATATAACTTGATGGAGGAGCATTTATTCTAGATGAGAATGGCAATAAATGAACAAATACTAACAGACAAAACCATAAGCAAAGAAGTCCACTTGATATGTTCAGAGTGCCAGGAGAACAGAGGATCACATGGTTATCCTGTTGACTGACTCTTGCAAGAGCTCTCCAGGGGAGATATAAATAAATATCTATTTGTCCCAGATAGTGACACCAGGATGTCACTCTGAATTCACCTTAGCTTCCTGGTCCTTGTGATCACCACTAAAGGAATTCAGACAAGATGAAGACTGGGATGGACGAGAAACAAGTTCACTTCAGAGCAAAGAGAAGCCCTCTCAAGGAGTGAGCATGGGCAATGGCCAAAAGGTTTAGTGCAGAGCAGAGCTCACCCTCAAGGAGTGAGAATGGACATTGGTCAAAGAGATTGTGGGGCAGAACACATCCTCAAAGAGTGAGAGTAGAGAGTGACCAGAGAAACCATGGAGCTCACCAACATTTTAAGTAGGCTTTTATAGTATCTCTGACATCTCTAGAATCTCTGGTTTTCCTGAGAGGCTTTGTCCTGTCCAGCTGACTAACAGGCCCATTTGTGCCAACTCTCAAGTGGGGTGACAGAAGTATGTCTTTACTCTTTACTAGAAAGTTTCCAACTACATAATGATCTTATGACCAGGTAGTTCAGAATGCCATATCCCCCAGCTCCAGAAATCTCCAGTCTTCTAACTAGTCATGGTATTTCAGTTCCTTGTCTTATTAGCTGATTGTAGGGGAGGAAATCACCCCCAATTACCTTTGATATTTAACCTACAAATATTTAACTATGCCCCAGCCATAAGGCACCAACAGGTCAAAGAAATGATTCCATCCAAGCTCAAATTGGTGAGCAAATGAACTTCTTGAGATTGCTTGTAGATAATTGTATCCCCAGAAATCCCACCCAAGCATGAACAATGACTCAAAGGCTTGGTCCTTAAAACAATGACTCCATTACTTGGTTCATGGTCTATCACCACACAAGACTATGTCTAGCCAAAAGTCATGACTGAATGGTGGATTGAGTGTTGGTTGAGGTTCTGTGGGATCTCTGCCAGCTCTGTTCCCATAGACTTAGCTATTGCCATATAGTCTACTATTTCATTGTCATGATAGCAGGTCAAGGTACTGTGCTTCATGATGGCTGGTAGCTATGTTACAAGTGGAAGAAGTGGCTTCCCTGCAACAGGAATGAAACTTGAAGTCATTGTCTGCACTAGATGGGTCATCTTTAAAAGAGGTGCCATCTGAGTTGAGCCCATTAGCAAGCACAAAGGGAGAAGAAAGTAGGGATGTGTTCATTAGCAATGAGAGTAGCTGGGAAATATCAAGGTTGAATGGAAAGAGGAACATTAAATTGATTGGTATTTTGACTTTTGTTACTTAAAAACTGATTCTGAGTAGTTGGGGAGATAATTGCTTGACTATTTCTGGTGGATGGTGGAATTTACTTTCCTGTGTCTTTCTATTGATGGGTGCAGGGAGAAGTGGGGGAGAGGACCACAGAGCAAAATGAGAATAAAGGCCTGAATTGGGACAATGGATTTTAAAAGGCTCCATTGAAGAACTGGCTTTTGATGGCCTGCAACACTTTCTTTGTGACCTGCTGCAATTACAGGCATTTGTGCTACCATTGTCGATGTTATTGTTTGCTTGAACAAAAATTCTTTGCCTGTTGAAATTTCTATTTCCAGCCCAACTTGTATACAATTTCAAAGGGTTTTACCCACCAAGATGCAAAAATGCATGAAGAAGAAACATGAAGTGATTCTCTGTCCCCTTTCACAAAGTCTCGTTTTCTTCCTTTTTATTTTGTTTTCAAAAATTTTAAGTATTAATCAGCTATAAAAGACTACTTATTGTTGATGAAAAAAACCACAGCTCCCACCTCAAGAGGAATATGAGATAGTTTGTTCTGAAGCTAAATGTGTGTGACTGTGGCCTAGGAACATAGACTTAGTCCTCCTCAAATGCAATATTCCAACATGATAGCAGTTTCCTGGAGTTTTTATAGTAACAGAACAAAGAAAGTTGTAAATCAAGGCAATTTTAAAATACCTTGGTGGAAACATTAGGCAGCAGTTACAACAAGTACCAGGACCTCAGCAGCAGACCTAGGATGCTATCTCATAGCACTGTTTGGCCTATTCTTTAGTAGAAAATAGGGCTTTGTGATGTTAATCACTCCAAAGGTTTTTATCTGTTTATCAGAATGTTAGGTGTGCTGAGGAGGTAGGCAAAGAATAGCCCCTTGCAGGGTAGAATCAACCCCAGAGAAATTGTAATTAGCCTATGAGAACAGCAGCATTCAAGACTCTGCACAGGCCTGGAATTCTTTATCAGTCAATCAGCCTCACAGCAACTTCTCTCCAGGAATTCTCGCTCACATTATCAAATATGCACACTCTAAAAAATATTGGAACAATTCAAAGATGTATACCTGCTCTTGGTTTTAAAACACCACCCTTGTTTCGGATGTTTCCATGCCTCCTGTTCTATTTCCTTGTTATGGGAGCTAATTTTTGTTCTTGAGGCTTGATAAGGGTGTAGTATACATGAACATGCACACATGTGTACACACACATGTGTATTTTTCTGTTTTTTTTCTGTACTTGTTTATTAATTTTGCTTTCTGTTTCTGTGTGTGTGTGCATATGTGTGCGAGTGCATGTATTTGACAGAAAGAGACAGAGAGTTGAGAGACAGACAGACGCACACACGTGCACACACACACAGAGAGAGAGAAAGAGAGAGAGAGAGAGAGATTTCCTCAGATCTTCCATACTCCATAATAAATATATTCTGTTTAGTTTTTATTGACAATTTATCACAATCTTGAGTCACCTGGAAGAGGGAACCTCAACAGGGAGACACCCAGATCATACTGACCTGTGGCCATTTTGTTTGTTGATTAATTTGCAAAGGCCCAGGCCACCAAGAGCAGGGCCACCACCCCCACCATACTCCCACCCCCATAACCCTACCTCACCATCCCACCTCACCACCACCCTACCACCCTACCAGCCCAACTCCACCACCCCCTCCAGCAAGCCATGGTTTCTGCCTCCATTCTTACTTGAATTCTTGCCCGGACTTCCCTCAAGGACAAATTGGGACCTGGCAGTTGTAAGACAAATCTTTCCTTCCCTGAGTTAGTGTTGGTCAGTGTTTAATCACAGCAACAGAGAAGCAAACTAGAACAAAACGATACACAGCCATTTCAACCCTTTCATTCTAATTACGCACTTTATATGTCTCCACTGCCTTATATCTGATTCTTTCTTCCATACTGCTTACTAAAGTTCTTATACTACTGGTCTCAACAGTCAAGGATGTTATGTACTGTTAGGAATATTTCTTAGACGAGCCTCCCCGCTAATGCAAATAATTCCAATTAGACCAAATCAGACCAGATAAAAGATGCCCATGTTTGATGCAATGCTCCTGGGTGGCACCGGGAAAGCATGGCGGGTGGGGGGAGGGAGAGGTGGGGGGACACTACGTGAAACCCGGAGATCATGTGTTCATTCTCTGGGGAGCAGTTTAAGTGGCCTGTGGGAGTGGTCTTGACCTTCCCTGGGGAGGGGTTACCATTTGACAGACTTTCTTGACCCTCCCTGGGGAGGGGGTCACCATTTGGCAGACTTTCTTGAAGATGGAGTTTGGACTAAGGCAACTCCCAGGAGAGGAGGCTTGAAATGAAGCCTTCCACCCAACATTCCAAAGATGGGTGCCAGGGGCTGGGATGAGGCCCCCCGGCTATAAGATTCCAGACTCTTTACATAAAGGGGTGTTAGGGAGCTGGGGTGATGCTTTTGACCAAACATGTACCTAAATAGCAACATAATCTTTGGTAATCCTTTTTTTATATCTCAGACTAACTACAAACATTATTTCCTTTCAACATGAAAATCACAATCTGCAATTGTCCTTATTGATGTCTATGGAAAAAATAAATAAAAATCAAAATAAGACTTTTGTTTGTTTGTTTGTTTGTTTGTTTGTTTTACATACTGAATGCAGTTTCCTCCCTTCTCCCAGACCCTTCCTCCACCTCCCCCCTGCCTCCCCACCTCTCTTCCTGATCCACTTATCTTCCTTTTCTATTCAGAAGAGGGCAGGTCTCCCATGGCATATCAAGTCGCAGTAAGACAAAGCGCCTTGCCTTGTGTACTGGTTTTATACAGTAAAGGTGGGCAAGGCAATCCAGCATAACGAGCAGGTTCCCAAAAGCCAGGAAAGAGTGAGAGACAATCCCTGCTCCCACTGTTAGGAGTCCCACGAGACCAAGCTACACAACTGTCACATATACGCAGAGGGCCTACATCAGTTCTGCACAGGCTCCCTGGTTCCCTGTTCAGTCTCTGTGAGCCCCTATGAGCCCAGGTTGGTTGATTCTGTGAGTTTTCTTGTGATGTCTTTGACCCCTCCAGCTTCTAGAATCCTTGCTTTGTGATCTAGTATATGGAGTATTTTAGAGAAGGTTCCATGAGGAGTTAAGAAGCAGGTATATTCTTTTGTTTGGGGGTGAAATGTTATGTAGACTTCTGTTAGGTCCATTTGAGTTATACCGTCTGTTAGTTCCATTTCTCTGTTCAGCTTCTGTCTGGACAACCTGTCCATTGGTGAGAGTGGTGTCTCCTTCTATCAATGTGGGGTGTCAGCTCAATGTAAGCTTCAGGAATGTTTCTTTTACAGATGTGGGTGCCCTTGCATATAGATCACAAATGTTCAGAATTGAGACACCACTTTGGTAGATTTTTCTTTTGATGAATATGAAATATCCTTCTCTATCTCTTTTGATAATTTTGGTTTGAAGTCTATTTTGCTAGATATAAAGAGAGTTGCACCCATTTGCTTGTTATATCTGTTTGGTTGGAAAATCTTTTTCTAACCCTTTAGTCTATGGTAATGTCTATCTTTGATGTTGAGGTATGTTTTTTCTATTCAACAAAAGGATAGATTCTGTTTTCACAACAATTCTGTTAGCTCGTGTCTTTTTATTGGCAAATTGAGTCCATTATTACTGAGAGATATTAATGACTAATTATTGATAATTCCTGTTATTTTGGTGGTGGTGGTGGCAGTGTGTATGTGTGCATATATGTGTGTGTCCTTTCTTTGAGTTTTGCTGGTGTGAGATTATCTATTACCTGTGTTTTGGGGGTGTCTTTAACTTTCTGGGATTGGAGTTTTCCTTCTAGTACCTTCCGTAGGACTAAATTTGTGGCTAGATATTGTTTAATTTTGATTTTGTCACGAAATATCTTTTTTCTCCATCTGCAGTATTTGACAGTTTTGCAGGATATAGAAATCTGGGCTGGCATCGATGATCTCTTAGATTCTGCAAGAGGTTTGTCCAAACCCTTCTGGATTGTAGGACCTCTGTTGAGAAGTCAGCTGTGAGTCTAATAGGCCCGCCTTTATATATTAGTTAGCCTTTTTCCTTGTCACTTTTAATATTTTTTCTTTATTCTGTATATTTAGTGTTTTGATTATTATGTCATGAGGGAATTTCTTTTCGGATCTGTTGGTGTTCTATAAGTTTCTTGTACCTTTGTAGGCATGTCCCTTGTCTCTGGTCCAGCAGAAAGTTGCTGCCTAAGTTTGGGGTTGAAGTTCTGGCTAGGTATATGCGCGGCCTCTGATCTAGTCAGGGGTCCTCTGGGGTTCAGATGCTAGCCTGGCTTCTGGTGCAATAGGAGGCTTCTGCCTGGTTTTCAGGGAGTTGGTCTGGTCTCTGAGGTTCAGGATTCTGTTCTGGTCTCTGGGGATTGGGATTCTGCCTTGGCCTTTGATGGGGTGAAAGGCTTCTGATAAAAGTATCGACTGGGATATTATCACGAGGAAAGGAGGAGCAGTTGGAGTTATGCTGTGTGAGAGCAGGCAGGGTGGGGGGCAGAATTACCAGAGGTTCAGGATGCTGACCTGGCCTTTGGGGAATGGAAGACTTCCTCCAGAGGTGTGGGGCAGGATCCTTTAAACAAGTTTAAATGATAGTTTCGGGAAAACATAGCCTCAGGATGACACTGTTTCTCTCAGAACTATTATTATTATTCCATGTATTCTGGCTGCTGATGAAAAATTCATTGTTGTAGTTGGTTATGTTTTTACTCTTTACTCTTGGGGGGGCCCACCAATTAGTACATTCTTACTTAGGAATGCCCGGCCTTAGCTTGGTTTGTTTCTAGCCAGCTTTTAATAACTTAAATTATCCTGTTTACCTTTTGCTTCTGGGCTTTTATCTTTTTCTATTCTATATACCTCTCTTTACTTCTTACTCTGTATCTGGTTGTATGGCGGGGCGGGGATCCCCATGTCCTCTCTTTCTCCTCTTCTCACTTCTCACCCCTCTTCTTTCCTCCTTTTTACTCTCTCTGCTTGCCAACCCACCTGTCCTTTCTCCTGCCTTGCTATTGGTCATCCAGCTCTTTATTAGACTCATCAGATGTTTTAGGCAGGCAAAGTAACACAGCTTTACAAAGCCAAACAAATGCAACATAAAAGAAGGCAACATATCTTTGCATCATTAAACAAATATCCCACAGCATAAATGAATATAACGCATATTAAGTCCACAACATGTTTTTAAGTAAGGTGATTCTTTTCCAACTCATTACTGATGAGATCTTCCCTGTGTGTTTGTTTTTTTTAGCTCTATCACCAATGAACAGAGATGTGCACTGTTTGTCATTGACCTAGACTTTTATGCATAGGACATCTTGACTTCCTACACAGATCCCTTGCCTGGATTATCAGTAACCTTTAACAATTAGGTTTCATATTGTTAATCATGAGATTCTCAAGAGAAAACCCGGTACCACAATTCCTAGTCAAATTTGAAGCAAGCTTTAATTAAATACTGGCCAGGTAAAAGGACTCCAGCCAGGTCTACCCCTGGGTTTCCAGAGAATGGCCATGAGTAACATTTTGAAGTGTCTTAAAAAGGCAAAATCCATAATAATCCACGGTGTTCTCCATTAGGCCCAATCAGGGTCATGCATACATCCTAGCATATTTCTTTCCCGTGTACCTACCTCTCACACATAATTAAGCACATCTGGTACAGATGGGTCAGGCAAACTTGTTTAGGGGAATGAAAACATGTGGTTTGTTATTTCCCAAGAACTACAACTCCCAGCATTCCAGGAAGTTGCCTTGTCCTTGGACAAGTGAGTCTTACAGATTAACTTTGGCTTTTACAATAAGTCAGCTTTAGCTGTTTCTTAGAAATGCTTCATCATATCGGCCTGCAGTCCTACTGGGGTGATAGGGGGACACAGTGGGGAGGGGTTCCCAGAAGACGATTTTATTTGCTTTGCTCAAATTCTAAAGAAACTATAACAAGACTTCCTTACACAGCTCAAGTTTGTGATTTTCAGATAATCCAGGCAAGGGATCTGTGTGATTATAAGTTTCTGGTGGAGAAATTTCTCTTTAGCACTTGTATTTGAGAATGTAGAAGGCAGGCTTGTATATAGCCACACTTGAATGAGAAAAGCACTTTCAACTCTAACCTTCCAAGAGTGCGCAGTCAGTTGTCAATCTACCAGACACTCCCATTTTTCATGAAGGTGAAGCCCCGATAGATGATATTTTCTATACCTTCTTTCCACACCCCTACACTACTCCATCAGATTGATGATCTGAGCTTTGTTTCAAGTTCTCATATTGTTTCATGGCTTGAAGTGAAGGGCCACCCACCCTCTACTAGCAAAGTTAAGGAGAAAGATGTTGCTATGCTTTACTTTCTGGGCTCTCTCTTTGATCTCACTTGCATTGGCATAGTGATCTCACTTTGACTAGCTCTTAATTGAAGCAGTTATTATTTAAAAGTAACTATTAATTGAAAAGTAGACCACTTGCACAGGCATAGTGATCTCACTTGCATTGGCATTTTGATCTTATTTTGACTAGTTGTTAATTGAAGAACTAGTTACTTAGTTGTTGTAATGTCCCACCCGCCATTCAGTGCCAAATAAACACACAGAGGCTTATATTAATTATAAACTGTTTGGCCTATTGCTTAGGCTTATTACAAACTAGCCCTTGCAACTTAAATTCACCCATAATTCTTGTCTAGGTTTAACCACATGACTTTGTACCGTTTCGCCGTAAGGCATTCTCGTCTTGCTTTCTTTGCATATGACTGGTGATTGATTTTCTGCCTTTCTTCTTCCCAGAATTCTCCTAGTCTGATCAACCCATCTCTACTTCCTGCCTGTCTACTGGTCAATTTTATTAAACCAATACGAGTGACAAATCCTTACAGTGTGCAAGAGCATTATCCCACAGCAAGTTATTAATTGAAAAGTAGGTTTTATTAAAAAAAAAACTATTTTCTATCACAGTTTCAGTCATGGTATCTATTTTAATATGAGCAAGAAATGAAGTGAAGACTATTAAAATTCAACATTTAAAAAATTATTGCAATAAAATTTAAGGTTAAGTAGAAGAAAAGATGAACCATGCTCAGGTCCATTACTAGTGTTCTTAATTTTGCATAATGAAAAGCAATACATAAATGCATCACTCAGTGGGATATATCAAGGTTTAGGAGTCTATAGTGTGTGTCAGACCCCGGCTGTTCCTATAGGAATAGTTATCCTGGTAGATTTAACCTTCCCACATAAAGGATGCAGAGATGTCCCATACATAAAGGAGGAAGATAAAATTAAGTGCTTTAGCGAGGCACCTAAATACAACACAGCAAATTCCTTTATTCTCAGAAAAGCATGTCTCTCAGCTTTAGGTTGCTGAAGTTCCTAAAGTAAAGAAGAGTCAGGAGGTCTCTTAGACATCATGAGAATTTATCAGTTCCAATTTTGAGGGGGAATAAAAGTGGATAATGGAGAAGTCACTGACCCAGAGTCAGGAAACTGAGCCCATACTGGCTCTAGACACTCAGATAAGACCTTTAAGTCTTGTCTCTCTCATCTAAAAACTATACATAATGACTTTCAGTCATTTCAGCAACCTTCTTGGGAATGATCTATTTTAAGCAGAAGAAGCTAGAAGACTTGACCAGAAAAATAGATGACTGTAGCCACTATGGAAACAGATGATGAGAAAAGAGATTAAACTTTTGAGCCAATTGGCCCCATGACACCAATCTTTTCCTACCATCTGCTAGATCAGAGGAACTTGTAACCAGTATTCTGTACCTCTTAGATAATTTTTTTTCTTAAACTAAAGTATCTCCATCATCTGATGGCATTTGAGGCTCAGATAAACTGACCGCTTTCTTGGTCTATAGAGTAAAAATAAAAATATATGTCTCACAAGACTGGGATCCACTGGTGGCACTTCAGATAAGTCATGAAAAAGGGCCAGAAAGAGCTGGTATCTCCTCAACTGATCCTTTG